CATCAGTAGTAAAGGCAAGTGTAAGCATGCGAGGGATCCCTGCAGAAACTGCGTATGCAGTTTGAATTTTGCGCAGGTCCTCTTCGCTAAGAGGCGAAGAAGCGTCCTTTTTCTTGCAATTTAAATATAGCTGTCTCGCCGCATTCTCCGACAATGTAGTTAGGGGCTGCAAGTCGGCGTGGTTCGTCCAGGTTTGAACAGTACTCGGGCGCGGCAAGTCCCTTCGTGCACCAGTTCCGAAAACAACCATGACATGGTGCACCGGAATAGACTTCATGAGCCACTCTAAAATAACGTATTTCTCACCGCTGTTGGTATGGCTTCGCGGAGCGTCTGGCGACTTACCACCCATGGCATGACCAAGGACGGTTCTAGGTGGAGTAGGTGGAACTCCCGTGGAAACCTCAACGCTTTGGTCTTTTACAGGAGATTTCGCCTTTTCGTTGGGCACGGCGAGGATTTCTGCAGTATCGATAAAGATAATGGGTTTTGGGTCATTGTCATCCCCACTGGCAGTATTAATGTTGAATTGGGTTGTGCACTCTTTCCACCAATCATAGGCCTGAGCTGCATCGCGCAATTCTTCCAGCTTGGCCAGCAAGGATGGGGGCAACGTCTGGTCAAGCTGCCAAAGATCCGTAAAAGTCGCTTGAGAAGAAAACTCAACACTGTTCACTTTTGTATTGCCAAAGACTTTGCACAAATGAAGAGCTACCAGTGCGGGAACAACGCGTTTGATCACAGCCCCACTTGACAAATCTTCGCGGATCTCGGCAAGATCCGCAGCGTCAAAGACCATGAGACGAGCACAGTCTCGTTTGGTTTCTAGTTCTTCAGCTTGAGTTGCAATTCGTCGTAGAAGTGACGTTTTCCCAGTGCCTCTTCCTGACCATAGTATGATACTCATTGGTTTCTTAGATTCAGGTGACGTCTCTCCGTGTTTGCAAAGCGTCAAGATTTTTTGTTGAATTTTGTCACGTTCGAAGAGCTCGATATCGTTTTTGTTGTTTATGGACTTGTTAACAAGATCGACAAAGCTGTAAGTATTTGGATTATACTTCACAGCCCCCACCTTCTGCTTCTTATTTGGTTGAGCAGCATCCTTGAACTGCGCCTGCAGGCGGCCAGCCAGAATAAAGTCCTTTTGTTGAGCAGCTTCTTTGATCCCTCGTTGGAGCTCCTCCATTTGCTTGAATTTTTTCTGAAGCCGTCCTGCAAGAACATAGTCGCCCTTCCCAGCAGCTTGCTCCATTTGTTGTCGCGTGTGTTCTAAATAGGCCGCACCATCATCAACAGCAGGTTCTGGCGGTGGCATTGTCAGGTCCGTAGTTCATTGCTGTACGTGGTTAATGAAAATATGTGGACAATCACTGTAGTTGACGAGAGCTACCGTGTACCGGTACCGGTATGTCATAGTAGCTTACTGTATTATATACCGGGCAGACCCCGGTGATCTCTGACCCCGTTTATTGTGGTGGTGGTGGGTTTTGTCAGAAAGGTATTTTCGTATGACGGACAGACGACTCGGGATCCACAATCACGGTTCGTGATTGGGGATGTGTGACTCAAATCAGATGGTTATCCGATCATCATCAGATGGCCAGGAGTACGAGG